TCACAGAATTGGATTGGGAAGAGAAGGGGAAAGGAGGAAATAGAGGTGTTCTGAGGTAGAAAACAGAGAGTCAAAAGTGGGAGAGTAATCACCACACTCCTGAATAGAAATGGGAACTGAATATTGGATTCTTAAATGTCCAAAATTTATATCACATACTGAAAAACAAAGATTAAAAATCTAGTGTAGAGGTTAGACTCTTTGAAATACAATATTTAAAAACAAAGACAAAAACACACAAAAAATTTAGAAATGTATATGAAGTTCAGTTTAAAAATAGGGTTTCTCTCTCTTTTTCTTTTTTTTGGCAAGGTTATAGTGAAATGAAAATGAAAATTAAGGAATAATAGAGGCGTATTAGAGGACTTTAAAAGGAAATAGGAGAGAAAAACAAGAAAAAGAAAAAAAAAGAAAAAAAATTTTTTCCCTAATTAAAAGAATCGTAAGAATATATGAAAATGAAAGTTGAGGAGTAATGGGGGAGTAATAGGGAATTTTAAAAGAAAATAAAGAGAAAAAATAAAAAATAAAAAAAAGGAAAGAAAAAAATTTTTTTTTCATTAAAGAAAAATACATATATATCTAGGAATTTCTCTGGATTTGTTGTGGTCAGTGTAGGTTCAGTTCAATTTCAGATAGCTCCTGTTTCCTGCTTACACTTCTGGATATCTATAGACCCCTTCTGGTGTAGTTGGTGTTACCTTCAGGGATTTTAATCTGTTGCACCGGTCCTTTCTGAAGCGGTTCCCTTTGTTTATTTGGCTTCTGTTTGCCGTCTCTTTGGTGTCTAATTTCCGCCCTGACACAGGCGGGAGGAGGTGATCTCTTATTTAGGTTCACTAGTTCTGTTCAGTACTGCTACGGGGAGGGCGGGGCGTTGCAGACAGATACCCCTCTGTGTGGATAGCACTCACCGGCCACACTGTGTTTGCCCCGCTCACGGGTGTCAGTGCTTTCCCCGTCTACACTGCTCAGGCTCCCGACTGCTCTATATGGAGCGGGCCCTGCATTGAGTGCAGTTCCAGTTTTCGGGTACTCCACAAAAGCGCGGATTCGGTTGCGCCTGCGTTTTGTGCCTTTCCCAGCCTGAGCGGTTCAGGCAGCCAGGGGCTTGGGCGTACTCTCCCCGGGTGCAGCGCGCCTTTTCCCTCCACGTCGAGCGGCCCAGGCAGCCAGAGGCTTGGGCGCACTCTCCCCGGGTACGGCGCGCTTTTTCCCTCCGCGGCCCCATCGCGCACTGCCAGTCGGGTCTCAGGAAGTCTTTAGATAGGAACCGGGGGCCTGTTTGCAGTGTGGGAGGGTGTGGCTTCTCAGGGGCTGAGTTTGCCCTTTTCCCCTCCCCCCTGCCTCCTACCTCCAGCGGGGATGGGGCGGCTCTTCTCTGGAGTTTCTCAGTCCCTTTGTTTTGCGAACCGCTGGCAGTGTGTTCCAGCCGGTTAATTTTGTCCATTGCTATCCCACAGTTTAAAAAAGCTCCCTCCGATTGCTCTCAGGGTCTTCGGGCGGTCCTTATCCTAAGCAATGCTGCCCGCTCCTCTCCGTTCCGCCCCCGCTTGTTGCTGGCAGGTGCGGGCGTCTGGGGTACTTTTCTGCTGGGAGTTGCTTTTAGGCATGTAATCTGTGGGCCTTATTTAATTTTTCCTCCCAGTTAGATTGCCAAAAACTTCCCCCAGTCCCGCCAGTGCGAGGGTTTCCTTGTGATTGGAAACTTCCTCTATTAAGACTCCCTTCTCGGGACTGGTCTCCGTCCGTAGCTCTTTGTCTCCCTTTTTATCTTTTATATTTTGTCCTACCTCCCTTCGAAGACAATGGGCTGCTTTTCTGGGCACCTGATGTCCTCTGCTAGCGATCAGAAGTTGTTTTGTGAAATTTTCTCAGCGTTCAAATGTTCTTTCGATGAATTTGTAGGGGAGGAAGTGGTCTCCCCGTCCTATTCCTCTGCCATCTTGGCTCCTCCCCTCCTCAAGCTATGTTTATATCTTACTTTTTCTATAGACAATTGAGATAGCTTAATGACTTTCAAAAAAATGTATTTTAAGAGAATTTTAGGCTGTGTTCAGTGGTGCGCTGGTAAATGTCTAATAACTGATTCTTAGGGTTAGAAGATGCTCTGGTTTGTAGTTTTGCCCATCTTTGTCTTCTGAATACATCTACTATGGCTGATTTCAAGCTTCCAATGTGGTCACTGAGTGTAGACTTGGGAAGGGAAGCTCAGTGCTCTGGGAAGCCACTGTGAGCTGGATGTGATGTTTTTGCTATCGAAGTGCTTAATCATAAATGCCCATCAGGATATTGTACTCTAACTGGTCAACAAAGTGAGGGATGACAGCTAAAATGCCAAACAAATCAACTTTAAAATGAAGTTTATGTAGGGAGATACTAATTTAGCTCATAATATGGGTCGGGAAAAATCCTCTGGAGAAGGGATAGGCTACCCACTCCAGTATTCTTGGACTTCCCTTGTGGCTCAGCTGGTAAAGAATCTGCCTATAATGCAGGAGGCCTGGGCTTGATCCCTGGGTTGGGAAGATCCCCTGGAGAAGGGAAAGGCTACCCACTCCAGTATTCTGGCCTGGAGAATTTCATGGACTATACTGTCCATGGGGTCACAAAGAATTGGACACGACTGAGCAACTTTCACTCACTCACTCATATAGTGTTTACCAAATAATCTCATGTATATGTGTGTGTATATATGCCAGATATCATGAAATGTGTTTGTATCAGTTTGTAACTTGACTGCATAGTGTATATATGCAGAATTTTAAACATACAAGGCATTTGTTTTAAAACCATAAAAGTAAAACTTTAAATATTTTGTATTTGTGGTATTTTGAAATGTCTTATCTTTACTTTCAGAGGGATATGGAACGTCCCATATATGGCTAATGTGTACTTAATTAAAGGAAAGACCCTCCGATCAGAGATGAATGAAAGGAACTACTTTGTTCGTGATAAACTGGATCCTGATATGGCTCTTTGCCGAAATGCTAGAGAAATGGTAGGGAATATGATGATGGCTTGCTTGAATGTCTCTATAAGATGGCTTGCTTTACCAGTTGATGTGTCATTTGTTTTGATGACCTTTTCTTTCTAATTTGTAAGTACTAGCCAATTTTTTGTTTGTGTATTGAAATATCGGAAGCAATTATGGACAATAACTTGCCTGTGCAACACCTGCAGAAACAACTGGAAAAAAGTTTGGCTTAGGCTAACTCACAGGCAACAATAAGATATTCAATTGTAAGCATAGACTGGTTACAAATCAACTTTGAATTTTTAATAATTTGTCTTTAATTTGAAATTCTATACTGACCTAATTAAACTTAATAGATGAAGCCTCGGTGAAATGATGATTTACATATTTAAGAAAAACACACTTTTGTCCTAAAGTCAGTATCCAGTATTTTTCTGTTATTATTCATCCCATAATTTCAAAAAATAAGTCCCTTACCACTAAACTGGGAAAAGAATTAAAATATGTAGTCTGTTTATGTGAAAAATTAATCATACATTGCTAGTCTAAAATATATTTTCATTATAAAACTTGAAATGATTGTAGAAAATTGCTTTCAAAGTGTATAAGTGTGTCTTAAAACATACTTATATGGTTTTATGTTTTAGAAGTGATTGGGTTATTTTATTCAAATTTGTATAAGCAAATGTGTTTATGGAAAAATCAGGAAAGTTGGCAAGTACTTTTTTCTAGTTTAATAAGGCATGTGTTACTTGAAATATGTTTGTTTTTCCTACAAACTTTTGTCCATTGTTACACTGAATGTACTCAGTACTTGTGATTGTAATTTGTGCTCATGTTTGGCTATTTGACTCAACAGCGCACCCTGGAATGGCCTCTCTTACACTTTTTTTTTTTCCTTTTTCTTAATTTTGTATCTAATGAAAACTCTTACTAAGGAATGAGCTTGGATTTATGTTTGACCAACAGAAAAATTAAAAAAAGGGCTGGAGTTGTTTCTTTATGTGCACTGTAAGCTTTGCTTGTTCTGCATGTTGTCTGTGAAGGACATTTCAGAATGTCAGCTTTTTCTCAAGGGCTGCTATTTTTATTTACCTAAGAATACCTGAGAGAGTGGATGTGCAGGTCAACTTACCCAATCCTTCTCTTCATTTTAGACTTTACAAAGGGAAAAAGACTCCCCTACTCCGGAAACATTCCAAATGCTCAGCCCCCCAAAGGTGTTATTTTATTTACTTTTATTTTTGTTTTTTTATTTAAAATACTAGATACTGTATATTGCCTAAAACTAAAGTTTCTTTAAGAGTCTTCTTTTCATTTAGCTTGGTGTGAACTGTTGTTATTCACTGGTTCTGAATTTGTACATGTGAGCGTGTGTTTTGTGTGTTGGGGATAGGCATGTGTGATATTCAGCTGTTAGTTCTTCAGACTGATTTGCATTTTATGGGTGACAGATGGAAAAGTTAAATACAAATCACTTTCACTAGTTTCTCCAGTTTTTGTTTTTTTTTAAGGCGAGAAGAGGTAGGAGTATGTATAAAGTACATCCTGATTAAAATGAGATTTGATTACTCTTCACTAATTTTCTTTTTATTAATAACCAACTCTTTTTACCATTAAAACAGGTACAAAAAGAAACAACCTTACCTTAATGGTGTTTGCCATATTTATTAGGTTTGGGGCAAGGACAAGAAACTGATTTAGTTGCCTCTTAATGCAGGAGTAAATTCTGTGTTCGATCTTTAAACATCAGAACATAAAAGTATGAAATAGACTGATAAAATATTGACATTTGAATTTTTGTTTAAAAATGTGATATCTTCTTTGAAAGGAAAAGAAGCCAAAAGAGGTACAATTAATTGCATTTTGGCGTCTCAAAAATATTTCTGCTTTCAAACAGGAATTCTTTTTCCCTGATGTCTACATCTAGGACCAATGAGAAAGGGACAAAAACAGTCCTTCTTCCTCTTCTTTATTTCAGTTGAGTGTCAGTGCTATCAATTAGTTTTGTGTGGTGTCTGAATTCATAATTATCAAATTCTACTTTTATTTTAAATTATGCATGTTTTATATGAAAAATAAAAATGCATGTTCCTGAATAAGAGATAAAAGTTGAAATTAATATCTTTTGTAAAATTTTTCATGTGGTTAAACTTATTTTCTTATATTTTCCTCCAATATTATTAATACTATTATTTTTTTGGTATATAGGGTGTTTTTATGTACATTTCTAATAGACATGAATTTGGAAGACTATTATCAACTGCTAATTACAATATTTCCCATTTTAACAATGACCTCTGGCAGATTTTTGAAAATCCTGTGGTATGTATTTCATGCTCAGCTTCATTTATTACTTATTTTTTGTAACTCTAAATGGATATAAATCAATTAGGTTAATAATACAGAAATACAGCAAGAGACTTTAAAGAAGTATTTTTAATTATCTAATCACAGGCCTAATTTATTGTATTTCTTGGCTAAGAACTTTCTTTTTAAAGATATATTAAGTTTGGATAATGGAATTATCAGTTTCTTTGATTTCTCCTAATATTTCTGTTATTTGTATTTCAAAACACCAATAAATTTTCAATCTGAATTTCAGAAGAAAATGTTTACGAATAGCTCATGTATGACAATATTACATTTTGACTTTCAGAAAGAAAATGCAAGAAGTTAGTTTGAGAAAATGAATTTTAAAATAGTTTTTAAATAAAAATTCTGGGAGTGTACTCTAAAGATAGCTAGAGAAAACTGCAAAGTGGAATCAGCATATAGAGAAAGTCTTAAGTTGAGGAAACTATGTCCAAAATTATTTCTTTTCTATAATTTTTGAATCATGCAGGAATTAATTCATTTTTGTCTTAATTGGTTTTCTTTAGGCAAGATGGCACATTTATTCAAGGAAAAATACTCACTAAAATCTATTTGTGGTTTTTTCCCTTGCTGTTAGTCAAGTTTTAAATTACGAAGACTCAACCACCTGTTGAGAATTGTCTTTTACCTTGTAGAAGTGTTGACTTTGGGGAATAGTAGATTTAATGGTCTCTAAAACTCTGTTGTTGGAAAAAGAATATCTTTTGACTTTTTTGTGTGTCTTAAAAGTACTGTTTCACTTTATCAGCGTATCTCCATCTTTCACAGGAGTAGAATTGAAAATGGGCTCTTTTTTAAAATGATGAGGATGGAATTACCTATTTTACTTTGGCACTAGAACTCTTGGTATTTTGAGAGATACGACTATTTGATTTCTTGGCTAATACTAGCTTCCTGAAAAAAAATCCCAAATTATATCCTGAAGTGTAGATATTTGTGTGAGATTTAAAATCTTTGGAGAGTATGCAATGAATATATCAGAAATTGGAACTGGTTTTCTTTCCATGGCTTTGTTCTAGTTTTGGTAAATTAGTTTGACTGATATGTCTTATGAAGGATGTCCCATAGCAAAGTATTTAATATTACCCCATTATCAGAACTACTAAGAAATTAATAAAGTCAATTTGTTCAATGATATTTGAAAACAGTCTAAAATAAAAAGTTAGTATTAATGCTTTAATGTAAAATCTTAGGGTCTTGTTTCTTTAACTTCAAAAAATCTATAATGATGCCAAAAAAGAATACTTAAAAATCTTTAAAGATTCTGAAATGTTATGTATGATTATTTACTTTCAATTCCCCCCCCCATATTTTAGAATCAGAGAACCAATAAATATTAAAGGGGATAATGAGTAATATGATCCTTATACATACTATACATTACACACTATGTATAAATTAATTTTGTTAAAGAATTTGAAGATAATTTTGGTTCTTCCAGATCTAAAAATATCTGAGTTACATATAAGCAGAGAAATGTAAAACTAAGAATGGCAAATAAATTATCAGGACCCTTTTTAAATGTGGCCTCAAAAGATATATTTCAGACAAATATTTTTTGAAACATATTTTGATTGAAATTATTTTGAGTCCTTACCTCAGTTTTTCCCTAGTTGCTTACTATTTGTACTTTGCAAAGAGAACACTAAGAATTTTGTTAAACAGTCTAAATATATTTAAGAAAATATCATTGTGGATATTGAATCTTATTTTAAGATATACCCTTTAAATATTGGGTTTTTAAGTAAAACACTTAACCCAGGAAAAAGATTCTTCAGTTGATATTGACAAAAATTGTTATATCTTAGTGTGAGGTTGGTGTGTCAGTGATTAGGTTAAGAGAAGATTCAGGTGCATGAGTTAGTATGAAGAAGATCTGTTTTTCAATACATGGACTTAAACCTTAATTTCAGTTAACTGAAAGTTATGGTAATGTTAGTAACCCCATTGAACATTCTTTGATACTAATCTAAAGCTGAAGTGAAAATACACATTTTGAATATATTTTAAAAAATCAAAATTATTTTAGAGTAATTCACTATAAAAGTATATAAGCAAGGCCAAGTTGATTAATTTGCTAATTTTTACTAATGTTTGTTGCTAAAGTTATGTTCCCTATCTTTCACTTTTAAAACACACATATTTGCCTACAGCTATGTATAACTGTCCTGGAGGAGGATATGGCAGCCCACTCCATTATTCTTACCTGGAGAATCCCCATGGACAGAGGAGCCTGATGGGCTACCGTTGGACATGACTGAGGGACTAAGCACACACAACTCATGTATATCCATAGAATATAGCATACAAATATAGAGACTGTAAGATTACTCAGAATTTAAAATAGAATTATAAAACTGCATAAATAAAAACTTTCACAGAATGTTTTCAACATACAAAAAAATCAGGCAAAGTTTAGAAAGCATAAACTCTGGTTTCTGAAAGTTTCTATTTTGTCTACTACACATAGTCATTTATAAATTGCTTGAGCAGTTTCTAAAGTGCATATACTTTATATTTTCCTTTAAAATATTCGTGGAAAGGTTTTTGCTTTAATCTGAGCAATTGATTTTTTTTTTTTCCATAGGACTGGAAGGAAAAGTATATAAACCGAGATTACTCAAAGATTTTCACTGAAAATATAGTTGAACAGGTTTGTATTAGAAATTACTGTGATATATAGAGCATTTTTGTTATACTTTCTAGTAGGGAATATTTTTTAACATAATACTCTCTAGCAGAGGGTGTTGTGATAGTAGAGAAACTGTCTTTTAGGTAAAGTTCATGTGACTTAATTACCAATTTTACAGCCTTGAAGGTCAGATAGCTTAACAGGTAGAAAAATGAAAATTAACAATAATATTAAGGTCATGCTATTTTTTTTAGCATACTCCCAATGTCATAACCATTTCAGAAATAAATTTTTGACAGATCTCTGGTGTAAGCCTCTTTTAGTGAAAGTTCATCTTTGAAGAATTGGACTCCATCACTTCTCAAAGAGGTTTCTTTCAAAATGAACTCTGCTGTAGATTAATGTTCCAAATTATTGTTAATAGCTTATTTCAGAGAATGTAAAGGGTCTTTAATTCTGAGATTCTGTTATTTTGTTCATTGTGAGAAAGGAAAAAAAATACTGCCAATTAAACTATGATGCACATTGAAAGAGCTATGTTAGACTTACTGAGGCAAAGGTGTTGTATGTCATAGGGCACTGTATACATAATAACATTTCATTTCAATGACAAATCATAATGTATCATTTAAAAAGATGTATCAAAGAGCAGGTCAACAAATGTAACACTGACTAGATGTATATATGCATTTGCACACATACAGATGCATACATTCACACATGTTGAGAACAAAATCAATGTCTAACCAGGTGTACATTCCCTGTGTCATTAGCAACTATATCACAATGGCTGCCTAGCCAAACCATGAGTCTAAGAACAGGTCTTGATTTCATAAAGGTTAAAATGCAAAAAAAAAAGTCTTAGAAATTGTTTTTTTAAAATCTATTGTTTGTAACAGTAGTGTCAGTATTGTTGGGCAAACTTCTTAAAAAGACATCTAACTGAGATAAATACTGAATATTACTTTTGAAATGCCATTTGTTAGTAAAAAGACACAAAATGTTACTCTCTTAATGGTGGTGTCATGTTTTATACGTAGCCTTGTCCAGATGTTTTTTGGTTTCCTATATTTTCTGAAAAAGCCTGTGATGAATTGGTGGAAGAAATGGAGCATTATGGCCAGTGGTCTGGAGGGAAGCATCATGTAAGTTATCATTTTACATTAAGAACTAAAATGTGTATGTAGGGCAAGGAGGAGTATAGGTATTTAGAGAAAGTGAAGGAGGTTTGTACTTTTTGTCTTACATCTCTGAGTCCTAGACCTCAATGAAGGGGCTGCCCAAGGCTGTCAAGAGAACTATGATTTTCATCTAATTCTGCCAATCGTTTTTTAACATTTAATCTATCTGGGCCTCAATTTTATCTCCAATTACACTGGGTGGTCCTTCGGGGTCTGTGTCCCCTGGCTGGGGATGGTAAGGTCATATAGGCCTATTGTGTGATATTGCTCTTCTCTAAGGCCATTTTTTTTTTTTTTTAATTCTCTGTGTTTTCACAGAGAGCTATAGTGAAAATACCAAAACAAAGTTTATCTGGTTGACTGCCAAAGCTATTTTTTTGTGTGTAAACATAGGAAGGAGGAATCTGTTTGAATGCCTTTGGTGTAATACAGTATTGCATTTACATTCAAAGACTTGACAGGAGGCATTACTGTTGGTGCTTCAATGTATTTCTTTTCCTCTGAGAACCCACAGATACCAGGTCCTTTATAGTACCAAGGAATTTTAGTGGAATACTCTGAGTATTAATGCCTCTGCTCAAATATATACCCACCTAGTCAGCTGATCAGGAAGGCAGAAGTTTGAAGTATGAGGAAGAACTTGAAGTTGGCAGGTTGTAGGAAAATGAAAAGCAATCATGGAAGGAATTTGGGGGCCACAAGATAGAAGTGAGAAGATTGGCAGAAAAAGTTTATTTTCAGTGACAGGTAGTAGTCCAAGGTGCAGACAAATAAAATCTATACCCATCAAGCAGCTAAGACTTCCTGAAATGTCAAAAAACTCGTTTTTAAGGGGACATGGAAAGGCTTTGGTGATCAATTGTATTTATTTTGTTATTAGACCTCACATATCTGTTAAATAAATAGGAAAGCAGTCTACTTACTCTGTAATAATTTGCTTCATCACTGATACATTTGCAAAGCCATGTTATCTAAGTTATTTTGATAGTTGTGCAATAAAGCAGATGGTACACCATAATTGAACTGTTATTTTTATTGTCTATTATGATCTTGTGGTTGAAAAAAATTCCAAGACAAAGTGAGTGTAAATTGCACATGGACCACACTTTATAATGTCATGAATGCTCTTTCCAGGATAGCCGTATATCTGGTGGCTATGAAAATGTCCCAACCGATGATATCCACATGAAGCAAATTGGCCTGGAAAATGTATGGCTTCATTTTATCCGGGAGTTTATTGCGCCTGTCACACTGAAAGTCTTTGCAGGCTATTATACTAAGGTAGTTATCCCCCCACTACTGCTACCTACTCCTTCCAGTTTTTACACAAATGTGCTATTTTATGTTTTTATTGATAAGTGAATCCATTAGTTTACTTTGGTTTTTTTTAGGGATTTGCACTCTTGAATTTCGTAGTAAAATACTCCCCTGAAAGACAGCGCTCCCTTCGCCCTCATCATGATGCTTCTACATTTACCATCAACATTGCACTCAATAATGTGGGAGAAGATTTTCAGGTTATTATGGTTTTTATATTTTATATTTTTTCAAAACAAATATGTCATTATGAAATGGCCTTTGCCTTATCTTTTTTTTTTTAAGATTCTGCTTAGATAGCATCCTTTGAATTTTATCACTTATTAAAATTGAAATATAATAAGTTGATACATTTATTTCTCTATCCTTTTAGGGAGGTGGATGCAAATTTCTAAGGTACAATTGCTCTATTGAGTCACCAAGGAAAGGCTGGAGTTTCATGCATCCAGGGAGACTCACCCATCTGCATGAAGGACTTCCTGTTAAAAACGGAACAAGATACATCGCTGTGTCATTTATAGATCCCTAAGTTATTTTCTTTTCATTGAATTGAGTTTTCTTTTGGAATGGATGACTGGCATGAACATGCCTTTGAAGTTGTCCTTGAGAAGATGAGAGGAATATTTAAATAACTTCCACAAAACAACTTCACTTTAGGCCAAACATTTGAAAAACTTTTCCTAAAAAGATTGTTTGATATTTCTAAATGTCTGCTCTGAGCCTTAAAACACAGATTGAAGAAGAGAAAGGAAAAAAAAAATGTAAAAGCAATTATTTATTTCTATGCCTTATTGTCTCTGAGAATAATGACAGTTTTCTGAATTTGTGTTTTAGTTGATTCAGGTACAGATGTACAAGTGACAAATGAAACTAATAATATTTTCTTATTAAAAGAGTGGGAAGAGTTTTGTTTATCAGCATGTAGACAAAATGGATATAAATGAAAATTTCAAGTTTTGAAATTCAGGAAAACTGGAGTTCTAACTGAATTTGTATGCAACTAATTGCATAAGTACTTTCTTTGGCCACCTATATTGGGACGTTTTTTGGTGGTTATTGAAGGAATATGAGGAACAATATATAATACAATGTTTTTCCTCAAGAAACTTAGCACAGAATACAACTGAAGTGCATATCCAGTGGAAAACATTTTTGTTTAGATTGTTAGATTGTTTTTTACATTTGCCTTAGAAATCAAGCCTTATGGTCCTTCAGATAAATTTTCCAAGGTGGATTAGATTAAGTAGATGTTAGATTTAGGAAAGCTTTCAAGTCTTTTGATTTCTTCAAAAGTACATCAAGCATCAACTTAAGATCATCAAGTGTCCTTAAGTCAAGACAGGGTCATTTTTAATTCTAGAAAATGAGGAAAAGGAAAATTTCATTGATATTTAGTAGTAACACGTGATTTTTTTTAAATAAAACTCTAAGTACTTGAATTTTGTATCAGGAAAATAAAGTTGGTGAGCCTTTGTTCTTCCCTTTTACCTTCTGTCTTCCTCCTTATTCTTTTTTTCAGGAGGGTGATTCACTTTTTTGTCTTCACAGCATAGTCTCCATTTTATCCTTCTTACTGTTTTTTATTACTTTTCTTTTATCCCACTTTCAAAAAATTCCCCGACACAAACAATTTTGTGACTTGATTTTTTCACCATTATTCTGAGTGAGGTTTAAATATTCTCATTGTAGCTACTGTTTTTAATTTAAAGGTTAAACTTGAAAACAAAGTTTTAAGTCATGGTGCCAAATTTCATTTTTCTAACACTGTGTGTTAGAAAATTATGAAAAATAAAATAATTTAAACTGTTTCTGTTCTCTTTATTATTGGTCATTTATGTTTAGAAGAGAATGATGGTGGAGTGGACTGAAAGAATATCTAGATAGAATAAGCTGTGATTTTATTTTGCTTGGTATGTTTACTGATATCCAAACTAAATGAACTCTATTTATTGAATTTCTAATTGAATTATAGTATCTTCCATTTCAGACTTACTAGGGAGTTCATCTGATTTATTTCACAAGTGAGAAAATAGACAAAACATTTGTTTATTTTGTATTTATTTATTCAGTGGTGTTTTTCAAGTCCCTACTATGGTCCAGGCACTGGCCCAGTCACTAAAAATGTGGTGAACAAGATGTTATAATTACTGAGAGATGGATTTAGGAGATAAAGTGTTGTAATTCTACCTTGTTTCTGCTCTTTAGTGGCACTTCATATCCAATAATTTCTACTATCCATCAGTTTGGTAGAATACATTTTATTAATTATTTGTGAATTATACTATTGTACTTCAAGGATGCTCTTCTAAATATGTACTGCTATGTCATGGATACCAACCATTCAGAACAGACTTTGGTTATAAAAAATAGTTCTACTAGTGTAAGCCAGCTTAATGTCCCTTGTGGTACACTTGACATGAAAGACATAAGTAGATCCTAATTCTTTACATTTGTGGGTGATGATTTATAGTAACTATTTTAATCTCATGCCATGTTTTCAGAAATTGAATGAAGGCAACCAACTGAGCATATTTTCTATGTTCCCCCTCATCCCAGGCTTCTTGAAATGATATGAAGTGTACTCTTAAAAAGAACAAGTCATGATTAGTGAGAGTGTGACAAATGCCCATAGGTAGATAAAAAATTTGGGAGATGGAAAACAGACAGGATTAGATGGATAGAGGAAGCTGTAACCTGACACATGTTCAGCTTTGGCAACCAATAATCTGTTCTCTGTTTCTGTGAGTTCAGTTTTTTTTTGTTGTTGTTTAATTCCATATACAAGTGAGAACACACTTATATGTCTTTGTCTGATTTACTTCACTTACTACAATGCTCTTGAGCCTCATCCATGTGGTCACAAATGGCAATATTCTTTTTCATGGTTGAATTATATTCCTCCTCTTGCGAATGTGTGCACGTGTGTGTGTGTGTTTACACATCATATTTTCCATTTTCTTTAACCATTCATCGATTAATAGACACTTTAGGTTGTTTCTGTATCTTGGCTGTTGTAAGTAATGCTTCAGTGAACATGGGAGTGCAAACAACTTTTGGGGGTAATGATTTTGTTTCCTTTGGATATATTCTCAGAAGTGGAAGATCATATCATTGCAACTCTTAATTTTTTGAGGAACTAAAATCTTTTACTATGAAAATATATTTGTGTACTAATTTTTAATTTAAAGAAAGATAAAAACAGTAGAAAGAAGCAATCCTATTTGTAATTTAATTTGAGTAAAGGAAGTGTATTAATGACAATAGTAAGTATTGGTGACTGTGGGTACATGTATATGAGTGTGTGTGTTGTTTGTGTGTATACATATTTTACTGAAGGGTTTAAATGCTAATGTTGTCTAGTTCTTAATTGCATAGGAATCAATGTGAATATTTTCCCTGAGTATGGATACTATTTCAATATGTTAATTTTGTTCCCTTTGCTTTATTTTTGAAAAATACTAGCACTTTATCTTTTTTGGTAACTTACCTAACAGATCTAGCACCTTTCTAGAGAATAAACATGGAAAACGATTAACATATAAATTGAGTGATTCATGCTAATGACAGGATCTTTTTGCATATTCCTTCATTCCTGTTTTCCTGTCTGTCAAATATCTTTCTTAATTTCATTGTTTGCTAAGCCCTAAAGCCTATCTTGTATGACGTTTTTGGGGCCTGCCATTCATTGGAGTAGAGTGTCCATACAACAAATCCCTTCAAGTTGTAGGAAAGTCAAACAAAATTATCAGTTAAGAGTCAATTTCAGTAGACACCTATAAACTGGGTGTTTTGGAAAATTGAAGTCTTCAAGACTTCATGAAAGCAGACTTTGTTAAGCAACATTGTTTATCTGTGATGTTTCAGAATAGCAAGCTCCAGATTTCTTTTAGTATGAGTCTTTGTATAAAAAGCCATTGGAGAGAAACAGGGGGAAATACATAAAGCTCTTCAATGAAAGCAATGAATTTTGGATTACATTTAAAGAGAAATACACTAAGAAATAAGTAATGAAAGAGTAGAAAACGGTACACACAAACATGCTTTAAAAATGCAAAGTACTATATTGCTAAGTTATTCTAGTACAAAGAATCAGAAAATTGGAAAGATGGGTATATATATACTAGAGATATGTGGACTTGATAAATTTTAAATCGTCCTGTGGTTTTCTTTTAAATTTTAAAGATTGTTTTTTATATTTTTGTTTTATTCTTAATAGAATAAAATAAATTAGAAAATATTCATCTGGAAAAGTGAGTTTTTTGCTGGTTTTTGAGGTGGTATTTATTTTTTTTGGTAAATCAAGCAACAATGATTATTTTTACCATGCTATTCTATTTTTACTGAAAATGTTTTAAAAATCTGATTAATTAAACTATTTTGAAAATTAGAAAAGAATTTCTGTCTATTTAACAATACAAAACAAGCTAACAACTCAAAGAACAGTTTTAACAAAATAAATGGAAAACATGGTGCATGCTATCAGTAATTTAAAGAAAGTGTTGTTCCTTTCAAATTATCTTCATCCCAAAGTAAATATTAGATTGCAAAAGAGAATTAAGGGATGTAGAGGAGAAAAAAAAAAATCATGTAGATTTTTAATAAGTAGTGAACTTCTCTGTGCTTAATTATAAAGTAATTTTATTTATTTATTGAAAGGAGCTCAGCTGGGTGCTCTGTGATAACCTATAGGGATGTGCTGAGGGGGATGGGAGGGAGGCTATAGAGGGAGGGGATATATGTATACATATAGCTGATTCACATTGTTGTACAGCAGAAACTAACATAACATAAAATAATTTTTAAAAATAGCTCTAAAAGACATTTTTCTTAACACTGGTTTAAGTTGAGTAACTTTTCCTTTAGGAACGTAGTCTGCAATGATAGAAAGAGTCCTTAAGGAAATCACATCATGGTATAAAATTCAGCATCTACTTAGGAGAATTTTATATTTGATAGAGCTTCCCTGGTGGCTCAGACAGTAAAGAATCCACCTTCAATGCAGAAGATCTGGGTTCGATCCCTGGGTTGGGGAGATCCCCTGGAGGAAGGCATGGCAACCCACTCCAATATTCTTGCCTGGAGAATCACCATGGACAGAGGAGCCTGGCAAGCTACAGTCCATGGGGTTGCAGAGTTGGACATGATTGAGTGGCTAAGCACACAGCACAACTTCCAGGTGAGAAATGGACAAATTAAAGCATAACTTTCTTCTATTGAGCATAAATGATTAGATTATTGAAAATGCATATTTTTAAAATGATATTATTAAATTTTGTATTATTTTCAGTTGTGTTGTATATAGATATACATTTTACAAATCATGCTAAATTATGACATCAGAGCCCCACCTTGTGGCCAATATAGAAAACTAATAGAGTCTGAGCTTTAAGCCAAAAGCAAAAGCTTTGCATTTTTTTTTCAAGTTCATGCTTTCATGATGTACTCTGCATATAAGTTAAATAAGCAGGGTGACAATATACAGCCTTGATGTACTCCTTTACCTATTTGGAACCAGTCTGTTGTTCCATGTCCAGTTCTAACTGTTGCTTCCTGACCTGCATACAGGTTTCTCAAGAGGCAGGTCAGGTGGTCTGGTACTCCCATCTCTTTCAGAATTATTAACTTATATACGGAGTACATCATGAGAAACGCTGGGCTGGAGGAAGCACACGCTGGAATCAAGATTGCAAGGAGAAATATCAATAACCTCAGATATGCAGATGATACCACTCTTATGGCAGAAAGTGAAAAAGAACTAAAGAGCTTCTTGATGAAAGTGAAAGAGGAGAGTTAAAATGTTGGCTTAAAGCTCAACATTCATAAAAGTAAGATTATGGCATCCGGTCCCATCACTTTATGGCAAATAGATGGGGAAACAGTGAAAACAGTGGCTGACTTTATTTTTCTGGGCTCCGAAATCATGCAGATGGTGACTGCAGCCATGAAATTAAAAGACGCTTACTCCTTGGAAGGAAAGTTATGACCAACCTAGACAGCGTATTAAAAAGCAGAGATATTACTTTGTCAACAAAGGTCCGTCTATCAAGGCTATGGTTTTTCTAGTGGTCATGTATGGATGTGAGAGTTGGACTGTAAAGAAAGCTGAGCACCGAAGAATTGATGCTTTTGAACTGTGGTGTTGGAGAAGACTCTTGAGAGTCCCTTGGAGTGCAAGGAGATCCAACCAGTCCATCCTAAAGATCAGTCCTGGGTGTTCATTGGAAGGACAGATGTTGAAGCTGAAACTCCAATACTTTGGCCACCTCATGCGAAGAGTTGACTCATTGGAAAAGACCCTGATGCTGGGAGGGATTGGGGGCAGGAGGAGAAGGGGATGACAGAGGATGAGATGGTTGGATGGCATCACCGACACAATGGACATGGATTTGTGTGGACTCCAGGAGTTGGTGATGGACAGAGGCCTGGCGTGCTGTGATTCATGGGGTTGCAAAGAGTCGGACACGACTGAGCGGCTGAACTGAACTGAACATGCTTTCAAATTTTTTCATGAAGGCTAATATAAATAAAAATAATATAAATTGTATGATTTCTTTCAGGAATTCCTTTTTTAGTTTGAAGATACAATATTTTAAAAGGAGGAACTGAGACACCTTATTCTGAAATAAGGGATAGCTAGCATATTCCCAGTTAGCACTGATGAAGTGGATTGTTTTCTATATTTTATCTACCTTAGAAACTGCTAATCTGTGTTCATTGGGTAATATGGACCATTGACAACATCTGTATAGAAATAATCAGACTCAATTACAACTGAAACAACAATTGGTTTTGAGTAGACAAAATAACTTTCATGACATTAGAAAATTGAGGAGTTTGATTATAAAAACCAAATGTATTTTAAAAGTTCCTTTGTGGCAGGAAAGGATAAATCACATTTTTTCCCTCTCATAACAGCACTGAAGACAGGTTTTCTGTGGCACAAACATTAGGTGATTCAGACAAACTGTGAAAATCATCTCTGTTTTGGGTTTTGGGGGATTAAGGAAATTTGTTCCTGCTGAAGTTGTTGAAGGGAAATGTACTAGAGTAGTTCTAATTTGCTTAAGCTCTCACTTATTCAGATGTTGCCCCCACACCTTTCTTGATCATCCTTCCCTCCTTTGATATGCCTTGCACCCTGGATGCTTGACTAAAGTCAGGTGCTGCTCATATAACTCTAGAGTGACTTCATTGACTTTCATAGTGTCCTAAGAGGGCTTTCCTTTTGGTCTTCTGTGAGCCAAGAGGAGAGGAAATTAAAAGTATGTGTATTTTTGAAACCTAAATGATTTGGGTGTCTGTGATATCAAGTCTCCAAAGACGATCCTCAATGACTTATCCCGAGATTCAACCTCTGCATGGCTCCTTTTCACCTTGAACCTGGGTGGGCCGTCTGCAACCAATGGAGTGCAGTAGAACTTACTCTGCATAACTTCCAAGCTGAGTCATGCAGGACCCCATGGCTTTGATTTCTTGGAACATTCATTCCTAGGCTCTCCATTTGGAATCCAGGTGCCATTCTGTGGAAAGTCCATGCCACAGCAAGCACTCCAAAAGTGAAAACTCAATTCCTACATCATTTGGCACTGAGTGAATTATTTGGACCTCAAGCTCAATTGTACCTTCAGATGACTGTTGTCCTCATAGTTTACTTGTGCCTGCAACCACGTGTGAGTCCCCAAGCAAGAACCACCCAGCTGAACCCAGTTAACCTACAGAGCCACAAGAGACAAAGATAACATTGTTTTGAGTCACTAGGTTCTGCATAGTTTACTACACAGCAATTGATACTGAACAGGGATAATTGCTTATACTTCCTCTCTAATTGGAACTGTTTTCCTGAGTACTTAACATAACTGAATTACTTATTTCATTTTACTCAATAAGGCCATAAGCTTTTGGTTTTTTTATGTAATTTTATTTATTTTTGGCTATGCTAGGTCTTCTTTGCTGCATGGGCTTTTCTCTAGTTGCAGCAAGCAGGAGCTACTCTCTAGTTGCAATGTGTGGGCTTCTCATTTTGGTGGCTTTTCTTGTTGTTGAGCACTGACTGTAGGGCATGCAGGCTTCAGTAGTTTCAGCTCCTGGGCTGTAGAGCACAGGCTCGACAATTGTGGTGCGTGGGCTTAGCTGCTCCACGGCATGTGGGATCTTCCGGACCAAGAATCGAACCTGTGTTTCCTACCTTGACAGGCAGATTCTTTACTACTGAGCCACCAGGAAAGCCCAGTCATAAGCTTATGACAGAAGGGACTGGTCCTAATCCAGTCTTTTCAGTTTTAGAACTTAGCTTGTAGCCTGGCATACAATAGGTACTTGTATGTGTGAATGAGTATTGGGAGTTGGCTTTATGTCTTGAGATTTTGTATTTGAATCAAAATGATCCCTGAAGGAAATAGGACTTTTCAATTTAACAGACCCAAATTAAAAAAAAAAAAAAATTTATGTGTTCTTTGGATATGATATAGGAGAAGACTTGAGAAAGACTGTACAATCTGTTCCTGAATAAAAGAATATGTAGGTGGCCCCAA